AGGAATATTAGATAAGTTGGATTTGCTTGGTTTTAGTGATAATGATGTTAAAATCATAGAAAGAGCAGTACAAAGAATTCTGTGTTCATGCTGATTGAGTTATGAAGAATTTGCACAATGGATAAAGACTAAAGAAAATAATATGAAATTACAGTGATTGTGGGCTTTCTTCTGAGCTTACTGGCAACGAGGGCAAAAGGAAACGGTGAGAGGTTCTAGTTTTCAATAGTAACTTAATTGTCAGGAGAAAAATCACTTTCTTGGGCACTGAACTATATGGGTGAAGTTATCTTGTGGTTTGTTGGACAGAATTTGTTGAGTAGCAACATGGATGTTTGGTGTCTGCTATGGTTCTCCAGAAAGAACAGAACCACTCTGGTCTACTGTGCAGACATAACAGTAACGATCACCTGGCGAGAGCCTGATAGCTGCTCGGGGAATTAGTGGAGCCAGGTGAAGGCTTTTTGGTGGTCTTGCTCCTAGCCCAATAGGGCTTGAGTAGTGAAGGCAGTGTTTATTGTTTACCTGTTGGCCTGCTAACCCCAAGGTCAGCAGTTCAAAGCTACTAGCCATTTCTCTGAAGAAAGACAGGGCTTTTTACTGCCGTAAAGAGCCTCAGAAACCCCCCCGGGGACTTCTACAGGTCCTGTAGGGTTGCTATGAGTCGGCATTGACTCAGTGGCAGTGAGATTGTGGTATGAGCTGGAGAGCAGCTTTTTCGGCATTGTGACAGCTATCTGAAATATTTCTGTTTTGTGGTATTGGTGTGAGAATGAAATAGATATGTCTTAGTCATGTATAAACTCTTCTTTCATATACAAAAGGACTCTTTTGTGGATGACGTTTTACACATTCACATTTTCCCAAAGGTGACTATAAGAGAACGTGTTGGTGAAGTGTGTTCCCCTTTTCCGTTTCAAGGATGTTGGAATGCCAAATGATTTAGGTTATTGTGAGGTATGGAGTCGCCTTGCAGAAAGTAATTTGGCCTTTGTTCTTAGTTTTTGAGGTAGTTAGTTTATTGTACCAACCTGGCCGATAAACACATGTGGGGTTAATTGAAGGGCGGAGGGATAAATGGCTCAGTGAGCCTCGCCTTTTGAGTTCTCGGGTCTCTTGCTTTCTGATGTTGGACCAGGGTGCAGCTGCCTTAGCCAGTTCCCTGCTTCAGCTTCCAAGGCTCACTTCCTGCAAGACATCCCCTAGGAGAAGCCACATGGACCTACCCCGATGCAGCCCTGGGTGCTGGAGCAGCCGTGTGGAGACCCCTGCAGTGCTGAGGTGCTTACACATTCATTGATTCGGCTTTCCTCCTGCAGTTGGCGTCATTGTGTGTGTTTTGTGAGATGGAGGAGGACTTTGTGGATTGGTGTGAGACACATGGGCTAATGTTGGACTTGTGGACTTGGGCAGCAGTGGGTTGGGATGTTTTCTTGATGTGCACTTACCCTTTAGATAAACTCTCTCTTAAACATACGAGTTTCTGTGGATTTGTTTCTCTAATGTACACAGACTAACAGTTTTTTTGAGCCAAACTAATGCCTGAGGTCAGGCAGAAGGGGCTGACCAGACTGAGAGAAGTCAATACTCAGTCTCAGGAGGCATGATGTCATCTGTCATGGTCGTGCAGGGAGACAAATAGGAAGCCGGAATCATGAGGGTCAGAGGAGCTTTCTGATTGGGGATCATGCACCGCAGTAGGTTAGTTGTTCCTCTTTGGGGCAGGGAATCTCTGCATTGTGACCCTTCCTAGACGGTATTCTTGGTGTTTCTTTGTATCCTTTTTGGTTGTAATAAATCCATAGCCAGTGGTATGATATATTCTCCATGGATTCTGAGTCAGTCCAGTGAAATAATGAATTCATAGGAGTAATGAGAACCAGCAGGTTGGAAATAAGATTACCATTGTATAATGGTAATCATGTAAAGACAGCTGCTACCTAAAACAAAAACATCTTCAATTTGACATTCAGAACTAATGAGAAATTTCTCTTAAGTATTAAAAAAAACATAAGCCACGCTCAAGCTGTAGGATATATTGGTCAGTTTCCCAATATTTTCGATTCTGGCTCTGCTTCTGACACTCAGTGGTTTCTTTATGTGGATCCCCCCCCTGGGTCCTCTGCCCTGCTTTCCTATCATAAAGCCCTTTCTTCTTGGGGTGAGAAAGACCACTCTTGCTTGGACTAAGGCTGTGTTCATGGGAAACACTGAGTCAGATTCATCAGTTCTGGTTCTGATGGCTTGTTTCTTGGGAAAGGCCACACCAAAATGATTGTATGGCCAGTTGATGGGATGGTGGTAGGGATGACTTTGACAGGGTTTGCCCACTGTCCATCAGGCTCCACTCTACTGCTTCTATACTCAGTTCCCCCAACCTCCCAATGATCTGTGATGTTGTCTCCCCAGGCAATGTGTCCCAGAGACACCAGAGGATCTCTTGAGTCCATACATCTAAGAAATGGTTGACCTGGGTCATGAACCCAACCCTCTTCCCAAACTCATGCTGTTTTTTCTGTTATTTTTTAGGAGAGATTCTTAATATTCTTTTAAAAATCTTACTTTGATTAAAAAACACTGCCACTGAGTTGATTCTGATTCATAGCAACCCAGTAAGGCAGAGTAGAACTGCTCCATAGGTTTCTCAAACTAAATCTGTATCGGAGCAGAAAGTCCGGTCTTTTGCACGTAAGCTGGTGGTGGGTGTGGACAGCTGACTGCAGTGAGCAGCCCAGCACATACCCACTCTGCTACTCTGGCTCTGCCTCTGTTCTCAAGCAAAGATTTGGTCAAATCCTTTATAAGAAATGATTATTTTCTGACTTGAGACAGACAGGGGTACTGGAAGTTAATTGAGACCTCGTTTGTATTATGGGCACATATTAACAATTTTTTTTTCATGATCGAAATAGTGGGCTTTTGGCCTCAGTTTCCCATAAAAAAAATGAGAGTAGTACCACTTGGCTTTCAGACTGTCCTGTGGGTTAACTAGGACAAGCTTCATGAAGATTTTGTAATAATGTCAGTGGAAGTTATTACTTGATCCATAGAGAGTTCGTACAGGCGTTACTACTCTTGGTAGTAGTTCAGTGATTTAGGTTCAGGTGTGCACGTGGTGGCATAGTTGTCACACATTGGGCTGCTAACTGCAAGGTCAGCAGTTAGAAACCACCAGCCAACTCTGAGGGAGAAACACAAGGCTTTCTACTCTCATGACGAATTACAGTCTCAGAAACTTAAGGGGGGCAGTTCTACCTTGTCTTAAAGGGTTGCTGTGAGTTGGCATTGACTCAGTGGCAATGAGAGAGTGAGTGATACGCTTATAATTTACCGAAGAGTAAAGATAAGGTAATTACGACATCAGGAGATTTGATTATTATGTGTCACTCCACTTAACTAATAATTAAAGTGGTTAAATGTATGAGCCCCAATAAATTGATTAAAAAATAAAAATAAAGTGGTTAAAAAAATTTTTTTAATAGCACCAGTGTGACAGTGGCAGTATACAAGACCTTTTCACCTGTGCAGGAGGATAGACCTTCCTGGAGGAGCCATCGGAATGTCTTGTGGCTACTTGTTTATGTGTGCAGGATATGGACTGCGTTGATAAAATGAGAGCTCCAGTTAGCATTCTTAAAATATAGGTGCTTTGGAATGTGGAAAAATGGAGTTTTTTAGGGCTGTTAGTTTTATTAGGAGTTAGTTTTATTAGCTAGCATAGTGGTTATGTGTTGCGCTGCTTATTCCCAAGGTCAGCAGTTCGAAACCACAACAGTCCATGGGAGAAATCTGAGGCATTTTTCCTCCTGTAAAGAGTTACCGTCTGAGAACCCCACAGGGGTTGTTCTGTTCCATCCTGTAGCGTTGCTGTGCGTCTGCACTGTGTTGATGGCAGGGAATTTGAGCTTCATTATGACCACGGGATACATTTTTAGCCACTAAAATATAGGTGACTGTGTATGCACCATTTTTAGTCCTTTCGATTCTGGTTAACCTCATTATCTTACTTCTCTCTTTCAGGGAATATCTTGGCAAGCAACTGCAGTCTGAACAGCCTCAGACCGCTGCTGCCCGAAGCTGAACTGCGCTGGCACCTTTGAATCCCAGCTTTACCATTTCACCGGTTACCACTACCTAGAGGGGATCTCAGTATTTGCAGTCCAAAATAAATCATTCTACCTGTACTTTGCTTCTGTTCTGTAGCTTTTTCCTGTGCAGCTGATTTCAGTTGAAAAGTTTGCATATTATATTGTATAAAGGTAGTTGCTTTCCATATCTAAGGAAAATACTATTGTTACATGCAATGCTTGCAGTTGCTGTATTTATTGTTCTCTGGAAATGAATATAATCATTAAAAGGTTCTTACTCCAAGTATGGCGTTTCTCTTGACGACATCCTTTGCTAGACCTTGAACGAAAGACACATGTTGTCCCCCTTTCCCACTGGATTGGGAAGGTTTATTTTAAAGTAGTGAATGGCTGATAGAACCTTTGACATTTATTCTGCCTGTCTTCCTATCTGTGAAAGTAAGTTAAATAAAAAAAGTTACCAGGAAATCATAGAAGCCTTTTTTGAACAAATTATTGAAACATAAAGCTATTGTTTCTTAGCATATCCTCCCTCTAGGTGTGAAGATAGTGTTTCCATCCCGCCCACCCTTTCCTGAAGAATTTGTGCTCTTTGATTTATACCACATCAAGACGGCCGTTTCGGCATTGTTAAAGGGCTCAAATCATATTCCTTTGAAATATTCTGTGTGCTTTTGGAGCAAAAAGCAGATTGAAGAAGCAAGGTGAGGGCTGTAGCGCGGTGGGTGGGGTGGGGTAAGGTTTCTCAGTGGAAGTCTCATATGACAGTCCAGGCGAGCTTCACGGAGTGAACAGGTGCATTCATGTGATGCAAATAAAATTCCTTCGTGTACGTTACCTGACCTGTTTATCATCAATCCAGTTTTCAGTTTTTGTAAAATTTCTTCTTCATAAGCCCCTGTGACGGTCTCTGGGAAGCCCATCAAGATTGCCCTTTTGGAGGTTGGCTGAAAATGATGGAGGCAGAACAAGCTACTGGGAGTATTGTAAGTGTGAAAGGCAGCAGCGGTGGTAAATACTGCAGTATACACGACAGTAACTGATTCATGAGTAGACACATGGGTAGGCTTTCAGACTTGAAAGGATGGAAGTATACCAACAAAAATCTGTAAGTTTTGACAGAGGACCTCTGTACGCAATTCACTTACCTTTGCTGCAATTATATCCATGTACGTGGTGGAACATACAGGGGGCTAATTAAAATGCTTAGATATAACCAAACACCGGAGATAATGAGTTTCTGGGTCTAAGAGCTCAAGATCATAGTCTTGGGGGACACTCAGAAAATTTGAATAACATAGTTCACAGAAAAAAATCTATATACTATCTAGTGACTGGCCACTGGGATCTTAAAGCTTGCAAGTGGCCATCTAAGTGCAACATTGCTCTCTACCTATTCAGAGCAAAGAAGAATGATGAAAACGAGACACGTGGAAACAAATTTTGCCTGGCTCCCACCAACTGCTCTAAAAGGGATCATGTTAGAGACGTCTGAATAGAGTGGGAGAAAACAAACAAAACTCGGTCTAAAAGAGACCAAGTTTATTGGTCAGATAGAGACGATGGCCCTTACTCACCCTTCAGGTGAGGTCTAGAATTGGACTCATGCCGTGGTTCACCAAACAAGAGAAACAAACTAAGAAAAAGGCATAATGCTTGTGAGGTGCCTACCTCAAAATCATCAATTATTCGAGGGGAGAGGAGAGGGCAGTATGCCGTGAGGACTCAGTTCATTAGGGTTGGGAAGAAGGAGGATGGGAATGGCAATATAGGAAGGGAATGTGATAAGTGATGTTACATTGATACTGTAATGAATGAAATGAAAATATTTTAAGTATTGAATGTAAACTAGCCCGCACTATAAACAATTCAGCCACACACACACACCATATATTTATATAAAACAGTCACTATAACCTGAACTGACGTCTGACCTAGCAGATCTTCGTGAAGGTACTGTGTTAATTGGACTTTTTTTTCAAGTGCCCTAATGAGACAAACATGTTTTTATTACTGAGAAAACCTGTCTGTAACCATCCACTGATCACAGAGATATTTTTAATTTAGTGTTTCGTTTGGAATAAACCCATAAATGTATGAGCTAGAGCCTTAGTACCAGTACTATTTATTTATATTATATATTTTAAAATCATTTTATTGAGGGCTCTTGCAGCTCTTATACCATACATCAATTGTATCAAGCATATTTGTACATATGTTGCCATCATAATTTCCAAAACATTTTCTATTTGAGTCCTTGGTATAAGCTCCTCTTCCCCCACCTTCCTACTCTTGTGAATCCATGATCAATTATATATTGTTATTATTTCATATCTTACACTGTCCATTATCTCCCTTCACCCACATTTCTGTTCTTCATCCCCTTTGGTGGGGGAGTATATATCCAACCTTGTGATGGGTTTCCACTTTCTCCCTTTCCCCCTCTCTGACCACCCCCCTCTCCTCATGTTATTGCTACTCCCACTACTGTTCCTGAGGGATTTATCTGTCCTGAATTCCATGTGTCAAGAGCTCTTATTCTGTACCAATGTGTGTTCTCTGGTCTAGCCAGATTTGTAAGGTAGAACTGGGTCATGGTAGTGGGGAGTGGAGTTGGGGCATTCAGAAGCTAGAGGAATGATGTGTGATTTGTCAGTGTTGTACTGTACCTTGGTTGAATCATCCCTTACTTATAACCCTTCTGTGGGGGGATATCCAGTTGTCTACAGATGATGGGTCTCCACTCCAACCCCCCTCCTTCACATGGATATAGTTTGATTTGTATCTTTTGATACCCGATCCCCTCGACACAGGCTGTTGTGCTTCTTCTATGTGGGCTTATTTGCTTCCCTGCTAGATGGCTGCATGTTTAACTTCAAGCCTTTAAGACCCCCGCTATATCTTTTTATAACCGGGCACCATCTTTCTTCACCATATTTGCTTATGCACCCATTTTGTCTATTGTCAGGAAAGTGACCATTAAAGAGTGCCAGGTTATCAGAATAACTGTTCTTGTGTAAAGGGTGACCTTGAGTAGAGGCCCAAAGTCTGTCTGCTATATTAATACTTAACATATAAATATATGTACATTGGTTTCTATCCCTTTCATTATAAATTAATGTATTTACATATGCACATGCCTGTATTTATATCTCCATAAATAGCTTTTGCCTTCTATTTCCTCTATTTCCTTTCACCTTCCTCCTATCCCACCATCATGCTTACTCTCCATTCATCTCTCAGTAATTCCTCTCGAATACATTGCACTTGATTAACCCCATTAGGCATTATACGCCTTTCTCGCCATCCATTTTAGATCTCATTGTTACCTTATCCCTGAGTTTGTTGGCCCCTTTTCTCCCGTGACCCCAAGAACTGCCAGTCCCCTTGTTTTCTACTCAGGATTGTTCATCTGCCTATCTTAAATAGTTAGAGGTAGGGTGAAAGAAAAACAAAAACAAACAAAAAAACCTAATAGATAGTTCCAGGTCTGTCTGTTTTCCTTATGTTTTCCAATGAAGTGCCAAGCCCTGTCTCCCAAGTCAGAAGTCTATTTTCAGGATTCCTCAGGGACTTTGTTACTTTGGTCCCCTTGCTGCCCCATTGAACTCCCTCCACGTTTCACCTCACTGTGCATGGGCCATACCAGGCACACTTTCCTCACGGTGTCTCCAGCGCTGTCCCCCAGTGCTATGGGTCCACGAGGGAACGTTGGGTCTCGTGGTGGGGCCTGCCCTATGGTCCTCTCTCTGCATTTGCTGCTCCAAGCAGGGATGTCATCCCTGGGGCTTAGTGGGCCATGATGAGGTTCTCTCTCTCTCTCCCTCTTAGTTCGATGTGTGTGGTCTGGGCTGTATCTTCAGTTCTGTCCTCTGTATTGCCTTCTTCTGCGGATGGGGTCAACATGGCTCGGGCCGCGGCCCCGTCATCCTCTTCAAGTACAATGCTTTTGGACTCATCTTCTTGTAGCTACCTTTGTCTGTCTGCTTGTCTATTATCTGTCTTTCAATCACCTACCTGTACATTAATGTACATTGTGGTAATTCTCTGATCTTATTATTCAGAGCCAATATTGAGAGACTTTAAAGTTTTAAGCTTATTTGTAATATACTGCAAACCAAAAGGTTCTCTTATGATATGGATGAAAAGTTTTACATTTAGGCTTAGTTCGGTGATTTCGTATATATTTATCTTTGGTTTTTAGTGTCTCAAGTTTGCTTGTTTTTAATCAAAGTACTTTTTGCTTTAAATAATGTGAAATAGAGACTGTTATTGCCTGCTCCTTTTCTGGACCTACCGCTGGTGAAGAGTGGGACCATCTCAGCAGTGTTGGAGGAAAGTCAGGGCACCTCCCACCACCCTGCTCTCGGAGCCCCTTGTGTTTGAACTCATCAGCTGATCTGCCAGGGTTACTGGTTCATTCATTTTCATTTTCCAGTTTTCATTCCTGGCTGAGTAAATGTCCTATGAGAATCAAATATTTCTTTTAGTAGGATTTGTTTTCTCCTGTAAAAAGACACGTGGGATCCATCTCCTGTTTACGGATCTAACGATTGTTTCGATTTCAAGCCAGAAATACTATGGGGAATGTAGGAGTGGTGAGTGCTCTTTTTTGTTGGTGGGCTTATGTGCCTTCTGTTTGCCAGAAACTTGATATTCTGATGCAACCAGGAAAGTGTTTTGATAGACTGTTCCAGATGCTTTACGTTGCATAAACCTAGGTAACTTGACTTTCCAAACCATGGGAAAATACTAGACTGAATTTTTCTCAGTGGTAATTACAGACTTTGCAATAACAAGAGATCAGATTCTGTTTTCATATGTTATGAAATAGATGAGTATTAAATATACAATAAATAGTTACTAGGTTTGTAAGACATTCACATTTCTAGAATTTTTGGTAGCCAGAGGTACTGCAATCTGCTGAGTTTCATAAACACAGCAAATTCTTTGATGTCCTCCCTCCTAATTGTCATCTCATCGCCTTTCTGTGCTCAGGTAGAAGATCGTGACAGTCATCCTGATGCAAACTGTTTGTGCTTTCATGCCCAAGAAGTGCTTTTGTTCTTTAATTATAATCTTCGTGCTTTAATTATAATCACATCATATTAAAATGTGGAAGTCTGGTGGCATAATGCTTATTAGTTGGCTTGCTAACTGCAAGGCCAGCAGTTCAAAACCACCATGGGAGAGAAGATGAGACTTTCTATTCATGAAAAGAGTAACAGTCTCAGAAAACCTCAGGGGGAGTTCTGCCTTGTCCTCTAGGGTGGCCAGGAGTCA